AAAACCAGACTAAACCAAACTAAAAACCAGAAACCAAAACCAGAACTAAAACCAGGACTAAACCAGAACTAAAACCAGAACTAAACCAGGACTAAAACTAGAACTAAAACCAGAACTAAAACCAGAACTAAAACCAGAACTAAACCAGAACTAAACCAGAACCAGAACTAAAACCAGAACTAAACCAGAAACTAAAACCAGAACTAAAACCAGAACTAAACCAGAAACTAAACCAGAACAAAACCCAAACTAAAACCAGGACTAAAACAGGTCTAAACCAGAACTAAAAACCTAAAAAACTAAAAACCAGAACTAAACCAGAACTAAACCAGAACTAAAACCAGAACTAAACCAGGACTAAAACTAGAACTAAAACCAGAACTAAAACCAGAACTAAACCAGAACTAAAACCAGGACTAAAATCAGGTCTAAACCAGTTCTAAAACCAGGACTAAACCAGAACTAAAACCAGAACTAAAACCAGGACTAAAACAGAACTAAAACCAGAACTAAAACCAGAACTAAACCAGAACTAAAACTAAAACCAGAACTAAACCAGAACTAAAACCAGAACTAAACCAGTTCTAAAACCAGGACTACACCATCCCGTGTGGACCGCGTCTCCTCTAACCCCCCCATCTGCGAAATATTCTCGGGCATAAAACTGGTCCATGGTGCAAAAAAGGCTGTGCACCACTGACTTAGTGCATGTTTAACATGAAACTCTCTTCTTCATGACAAACGTCTAAGCTGTTTGTCAAAGTCAAGAGGTAAAACTGTCCTCTGCTGGCTCACCTCATGTAGGAGTACATGAGGCATTTGCAGTAACAATCATTATTATTATTAACTGTCCAAAAGAGAACATCTGTGAGGAAAAAGATGTTATTTGCAAACCAGGTTATTTTAGGTGAAGTGAAAGTTCTTCATACTCTTGCAGGGTGTTGTCATAACCAGCAGGTTATAAAAACATGCTTGGTTGCTTTGCCAGTATGAGGCCTGAGTTGAGGCACACAGGGACACTGGAGCGTTACCAAAAACGCTGAGTGCCAGTCACTTATGACAGGACCCACTCTTATTGTTTTCTTAACCTGAGCTGATATTGATCAAGAACTACGCCCACATAAAACATCTCTGCTGCATTACACACTTTACCTGTTTGAGGGCCTTCGTACTTGGACCTGAAATTGTCCTGCTCCAGATGAAAAGTAGATAGAGCGCGTGACACTGCAAAGGTGTGAGGGGGTTTAGCCAAAGTTCAGCAAATTCAGATGCTGCCTGTTGCACCACAGACTTGTGCAAAGTATTAAGTAAGTAAGTAAGTTTTTATTTATGAAGCATCTTTCACAGATAAAAAACTCACTTTACAGAGCAATAAACAACACGTACAAGAACAGAGGAATTACAGACACAGTCAACTAAAAGCCTAAAGTTTAAAGAGCAGTGTCTTGAGCTGCTGTTTTAAAAGAGACTATAGACTCTTACAGAGGGCTGGAGGTGTTCCATAATTTGGGAGCCACGGCCTCAAAACACGTCACCCCGAGTTTTAAATCGGGTCTTTGGGACCATGTACAGTAGGGGCACAGTAAGTCACTGATGTACTGGGGCACCTGTCCATTTAAACCTCTGTAAGTTAAAACCATGACTTTTGGTCTGAGTTTAGTGACGTTTCCGTAGCTGATATAAACATTTTTAACCACATGGCTGCAGTGCCCCTTCAAAGACACTGATATGTCCAACAGCACTCGTAGATTTCTAACGCTGGACTGGACTGAGGGGGTCGGTGAGCCGAGGTGATCCTTATTTAGAAGAATTTTTTCATCTGGTGCCAGAATAAGAGTTTCTGTTTTTTCCATCATTAAGTTGAAAGAAGTTCTCAGAAAGTCAATGTTTGATACAAGAGAAGCTCTGCAGGAGGGTTTTTAGTCTGTCTCTGTTTCTTTAAAAGAACAATTCAGTTGTCTGTCATCAGCAAACAAATGATACGAAACATTCTTGAAACAATTTGACATCAAGAAAAGAAGTGGCCCCAGGATTGACCCTTGCGGGACACCACAGGTCAAGAGTGACACTTCAGACATGACATTATTGACAGAAACAGAAAAGGATCTGCCAGCCAAATAAGAGGATGAGTCATGAGCATGATTCAAACCAACATGAGGAACTGAAGAAGAGCCTGTACACTGCATAAACCATTGCATCAGTTCAGTTTCATAAAAAACTCAATTGCCACACACTACAAAAAAAAAGTATTGTGAAATGTTCCAAATGTGTGTTAGATTTACAACTATGTGTTTCCATGTACTGGGATTTCCAGTGCCTATAAATGATATTCAACTGACATCTACATGCTCCTGTTGTTTCTGAGTTGTGCAGCGGCCTCCTCTTTCAGATGTGGACTTTTCCTTATATGTATATCCTCTGTACGAAGAGTTTATGTGTACACACCCCCAGTCTCCTCATTATCATAAACTGTCACTGCTGATGGTTTTTGTCTGGGTGTCTGGCCGTCTGGGTCGTTTGCGAAACCTCCTGATATTATTACACTTCTTTCACTGAATTATTCTCTGGCGATGGAGTCAATTCTTTTCTGATATCAAATACTGCGATTTATCTGTGAACAAACTAAAGCAAATACAGCACACAGTTTAAAGATCATTTAGTTTCAAATGCATCACTTCAAACATGCAAAATAAGACTACTGAGTACAATATATTTATAATAAAAAAGGCTGTAAAATATACATAATAAAAAATTAAAAGCCTAAAAATGTGCACGGCTTTGTTTTTTCAAAATGTTAGTTTTCCATTTCACAGTTGTTTCACAAACATCAATCTAAGAGGCATTTGCTTTTATAACAGCTTCTTTTGGCTCATTATTTATTACAATTTGCACTCTGTAATCTGTAATAGTTATTTCTGTTTGCACACGCTACATGTCTGTTTAAGTACTTTTCATGTTAGTACATGTAGTATGCTTTTATGTAGTACATGTAGTATGCTTTTATGTAGTACATGTAGTATGCTTTTATGTAGTACATGTAGTATGCTTTTATGTAGTACATGTAGTATGCTTTTATGTAGTACATGTAGTATGCTTTTATGTAGTACATGTAGTATGCTTTTATGTAGTACATTTAGTATGCTTTTATGTAGTACATTTAGTATGCTTTTATGTAGTACATGTAGTATGCTTTTATGTAGTACATGTAGTATGCTTTTATGTAGTACATTCAGTATGCTTTTATGTAGTACATGTAGTATGCTTTTATGTAGTACATTTAATATGCTTTTATGTAGTACATTTAGTATGCTTTTATGTAGTACATGTAGTATGCTTTTATGTAGTACATTTAGTATGCTTTTATGTAGTACATGTAGTATGCTTTTATGTAGTACATGTAGTATGCTTTTATGTAGTACATGTAGTATGCTTTTATGTAGTACATGTAGTATGCTTTTATGTAGTACATGTAGTATGCTTTTATGTAGTACATGTAGTATGCTTTTATGTAGTACATTTAGTATGCTTTTATGTAGTACATTTAGTATGCTTTTATGTAGTACATTTAGTATGCTTTTATGTAGTACATGTAGTATGCTTTTATGTAGTACATGTAGTATGCTTTTATGTAGTACATTTAATATGCTTTTATGTAGTACATGTAGTATGCTTTTATGTAGTACATGTAGTATGCTTTTATGTAGTACATGTAGTATGCTTTTATGTAGTACATTTAGTATGCTTTTATGTAGTACATGTAGTATGCTTTTATGTAGTACATTTAGTATGCTTTTATGTAGTACATTTAGTATGCTTTTATGTAGTACATGTAGTACGCCCAGGTGTGTGCAGGTGCATATTACTGTGATGATAAGACAGTCACACCTTAATGCCACGCATAGTTTTGGAGTTACGTAATTAAAGGTTCACCTAAAATTTATTATTTAATTTTTGTTAAAAGATAAATGACATTTAAAAAATCTAAGATTCTGAGATCATTAAATATTCCAAATGTCTATTTCATGGAGTTTTTGACAAAAACCTTCACCAGTGTGATCAGTTTGTGCAGCCTGACCGACTGACTGACTGAGTGTTGTAAATTCCTGCAAAACTTTCCACTCCACTGCAGAGCCACTCCCATCAGGGACAGTGCCAAACAAAAGACACAGGATTTAGCAATAAAATAGGAAAGCTGCCATTTGATCTGTTCTAATCTGCAAATGATTTTTATAAATCTTATAAAAGAAGTCATGTCTGCATTAACTAATTGTTTTTATTTAAATAATCAGTGTGAACAGACGTGTTAGGTGAATATACATTTTGTGTTTTTGGTGACAAACCAGGGCTGGGTTGGAAACGTGTCTAGAATTGTCTTTATTGAAATTATAGATGGGCTTCATTACATCTCTATTCAACATAATTGTTACATTGCAGCTTTACCTGTGTTGTCACATCTAAAATCCCTCAGTTGTTACTTGCCGCCCTAAAGAAAATGTTGGTATATTTTATGCATCTGTAGTGAGGCGGCGCTCTAAAATGATCACATGGAAACATATGCATGGACATACAACACATGTGTAGGACTGAGCTCACAAACACCAAGACAAAAACACTCAAAGATATATGAGATGATTGTGTTTTTGCCATAACATCATTACTCATTAAGGTAAATAGTGTTAACTTGCACTATTATGCTGAATGTTGATTGTTGCGTAACCCTCGGGGGCCTGTAAAAAAAAGTACAAGACAAGTATCTGCTTGTTCGTGTTTTGGTTTGATGCAAAAGTTGAAGCATGTTGAAGAAAAACGGAAGAACATTCCCGTAAATGTGCCTGTGCCAAGTATCAACTACCACCAGCAGTTTGTTTTTAATTATAGTGAGACATGATGGGCGAGACAACACTGGTTGGCACTCCTCCCCAAAAGTGGTTCTACAAGCTCCAGCCCACAGAGGAGGGAGGGAGCGTTGGAGAAGAGCACGATATAAAGACGACCGAAGGTTCAGTCCACATCAGTCAGCCTCTACTCTCCAGGACAGGCAGATCGCTGAGCAAACTTCAACAATGGCAAACTTCGCATCCTTCTCCAGACAGTCCTTCAGCGGTGGAGGCAGCATCAAGACCGGTGGGCGCCAGTACTCCCACAGTGTCATCGGTGGGGGCGGTGGTCAGAGGATGTCAATAGCCTCTCGCAACTTCTCCTCTGGAAGTGGTTCTGCGTATGGCGGGGGTTTTGGTTATGGAAACGCCATGGGTGGTGGTTTTGGAGACGACCTTTCAATCACTACCAGTGAGAAAATGACCATGCAGAACCTGAACGACCGTCTGGCCACCTACCTGAACAAAGTGCGCCAGCTAGAGGCTGCCAATACTGATCTGGAGCTCAAGATCCGCCAGTTCTTGGAGAGTAGAGTCTCTCCTGTTGGACGAGACTACTCTGCATTCTATGCTACCATCGCTGATCTGCAGGGAAAGGTATGTTCATTATCTGAGAAATATTATTTTTAATGTTCTCTATAATCTTACAAAAACAACAATACTTAACAGATCCAGGATGCCACTCGTATCAACGGAGGCATTTATTTGTCCATTGACAATGCAAAGCTGGCTGCAGACGACTTCAAAACTAAGTAAGTGCTGTTTTTAATTTTTTGTTTGTTTTGTTTCTTTTTTAGATTTAATTTAATTGTGTCTGTAATTTCCAAGATATGAGAATGAGCTCGTCATGCGCCAGTCAGTGGAGGCAGACATCGCAGGCCTGAAGAGGATGCTCGATGATCTGACCTTGTGCAGATCCGACCTTGAAATGCGGATTGAGGGACTCAAGGAGGAGATCATCTTCCTCAAGAAGAATCATGAGGAGGTGTGTAGAGAAAACATCCTTTGAATCTTGAATTTAGATTAATCCTAGAAAAACATTTTTGTAAACTGGATTTTATTGTCTACAGGAAATGGCAGCCCTGAGGTCTCAAGTGGGTGGACAGGTTAATGTGGAGGTGGACGCTAAACCTCAGGAGGACCTGAGCAAAATTATGGCTGAAATCCGTGAGCAGTATGAGAGCGCAACTGCCAAGAACCAGAGAGAACTTGAACAGTGGTTCAATAGTAAAGTAAGACTTTAATAGTGATACATGCCCACAATTGATTGTTCTTATAAACTGTAAACACTCTGTATTTTATCAATTACAGATTGAAGAACTAAACAGAGAAGTATCAACAAGCCAGGAAATCTTAGTAACATCCAAATCAGAAATCTCAGAACTCCGTCGCACACTTCAAGCCCTGGAGATTGAGCTTCAGTCCCAACTCAGCATGGTAAAGTCACTGGTTGTAGTGGACAAGTAAGATGTATTCATGACTATGTCTTTAACATGATCTAATTTCTTTCCTTCAGAAAGCGGCTTGTGAGTCAAGCTTAGCAGAAACAGAGTCGCGGTATTCCATGAAGCTCCAGGGTTTGCAGATGCAGGTGGCGTCAATCGAACAGCAGCTCACCGGGCTGCGTGCCGACATAGAGCGACAGACCCACGAGTACAACATGCTGCTCGACATCAAGACCAGGCTGGAGATGGAAATCGCAGAGTACAGACGGCTGCTGGATGGAGAAAAGTGAGACTCTGGAGACTCACATGAAACATGAGCTTTAGTCATGATCATAAACACTGAGCTAAATGTTTGTTTTTCCTTTAGCATCTCCACTTCTGGTTCTACTTCAACTTCATCAACCAGAACCAAGATTCTTGTAATCACAGAAAAAACTGTGGACGGCAAAGTGGTATCTACAGAGGAAACTGTTCGTTAAAGCTGAACTCAGTTCTAACAGCACATACAAATGAAAAATAAAGTTTTAGTGCTGACTCATTGCATTGTTTCTGACTTTTTAATGTTCCTCACTGTGTAATAATGAACACGTGTAAAACATGACTATCTCAGCTTTGTACTGTGTAAACAAACAGCCTGGATGCCATTGCAGCCTTTTCCTGTAAGACTAATTATAGAAGAAACAGTGACGTGAGTGAACGTAGCACCAAATCAAAAGCTGCAGGAAGTTTAGAGAACATAAAGAACATAAAGAACATAAAGATGTGCGGAGCATTTCATCTCATTAAAGCAACATATAACATAAGTCCATGTGTCTGGACAAAAGTTTTAAGACTTTTGTCTGGAGCAGAGGTCCAGTGTGTGGCTCGGTGTGTGGCTCTGTGTGCGGCTCGGTGTGCGGCTCGGTGTGCGGCTCGGTGTGCGGCTCGGTGTGTGGCTCAGTGTGTGGCTCGGTGTGTGGCTCAGTGCGCTGGAGAGCAGGGATGGGGGAGTGTGATCTGACATATTTCTAAAATGGACATTCATGAAAAGTGACCTAACCATAAAAGTCTGTTATAGTGTAATAAACAATTATTCTGAATCTCAGAGAGACTTTGGCCACAACAGCCTACAGCAACCCATACCCCCCAGTTCTAAAGGCCTCTTATGATACTTTCACCCCAGACATGTCGTGCAAATTGTGTGAGTGATTCTCATGTTAACCCTTTGAAGATGCACGTTGATGGATGTTTTCTCTTCTCTTTCTATTCACGTTTTCAGCCATGTTGATTAATTTTATTGTTGTTTTTCAGTACCACCTGCTGGTTAAGACATATCATGACAGTCCCTTTTTTTTTGTTCGAGCACAAGGGTGTCCATAAGTGCATGTGGCACCAGGACACACTAGGCCGGAGGTCGATGATCGACTTTGTAATCGTGTCATCTGACCTCCGGCCGCATGTCTTGGACACTCGGGTGAAGAGAGGGGCAGAGCTGTCAACTGATCACCACGTGGTTGTGGGTTGGATTCGCTGGCGGAGGAGGAACCCGGAAAGACCTGGCAGGCCCAAGCGTGTAGTGAGGGTCTGTTGGGAATGTCTGTCAGAGCCTCTGTCAGAGGGACTTTCAACTCGCACCTTGGGGGGGGCTTTTCACAGATTCTGGGGGAGGCTGGAGACACGGAGTCTGAGTGGGCTTTGTTGGACAAAGTCACTGGATGGATGGACAAAGCTTGGACTTCAGTGACACCAAAACCATCCTGTCAGGATTCAGAAAGCCCCCATAATTCTAACTGAAACTGATGCTGAGTCTGACCACAGCGACACAGAAGAAGGAAGCGGCGCTCCGTTTGCCTCCGGAGGTCGAGGCCGAGTTGTTCAGAAGTGACACCGAGGATGAAGAAATGAATGGATTTAGTGATTTGGAGTGAGATGGAGAGTTTGTTAAACTTGTTCTGTTCTGTTGTTTATGCTCTAGTTATCTGAATAATGTATTATGTTTTTTTCTTCTTCATTATTCATTTTTTCGCTGGTGTGATTTATAGTCCGGAGCAACTTATAGTCCAAAAAATATGGTATACCTTCTGTGGTCTTCATTTTGATCTCTGTGCAGCACTTTGAAAACTAATTTGTTTGTAAAACTCTATAAATAAAGTAAAAGTGAACTCACCTGGACTGCTCCATTTTACATCACTTTTATTCTTATTTATTTATCCTTATTTTTAGTTTTATCACAGATCCATCACCCGCCCACGCCCTCTTCAGCTCAGAATGGACCCGGGTCTGGAGAAGCCGCTCTGTGTTTCTTGGAGTGTTTATTTTCCGTGAGTGTTTTTTGAAGGCGTCTCCAGCGCGTTGTCTGGGCGCAGTCTGGAGCGAGCGAGGCCGGCCTAATGTATTCTTAAATAATAGGTTTGTTCTGCACCTTTCTGCAAAGCGTCTCCGTTATCAGCCTCAACGGTGCAATTTCACCTCTCCTCCGCTCCAATCCACACGCTCTTTTCTTCATATAATAAAAGGTCTAAAAAGCGCCGCACAATCACATAGAACAAATGGCGTTCCTCTGCTCTGCGCTGGCTCCTCGTTCATTCAATACGAGACATTATCAGGGCTGTTTGGAGAGTTATTATTTTTTAAAGGTCTGATATTACACAAATTGATTATTGAAGCTTTTAGACATCGCCTCAAAAACAGACCTGGAGTTAGGGTTAGTGTTTTGTTTCACTCACACATGTTTGAGTAACCTGGGTTTATTAGTCTGTCTACATCTCCAAAGTTGAAAAATGCTCCGTTCCACCTTGTGATGTCATGTTGTGATAGTTAAGTCACTATATTTTTACATTTAGCTCAGTAGAGATCGGCAATTCCAGGGTTCTGAAATGATCCAAATGATTCCAGTGAAGGTGTGTGGAGTTTAAAAACACAGTGGAGCACTTCCTGTATCACCGCACGACATCACAAGGTGGAACAGAGTGCTTTCTGTTTAAGAAAAGGACTCAGCAACAAACAAAACACAACTCCAGGTCTGTTCGTGATGAGGAAACTACATTAGAACATAGATCAGAAAATAATAACATAAATCTTTATTTTTATGGCAATTTTAAAAACAAGGTTTACGTAAGAGTATGTGCACATCCCCATCAAAATACACAGAAAGCACACGTCTATTTCTGTATTTATGCATTTACCATTAGGGTCAGTGCGAGAAAAGGGCCCCTCCCTGAACCGCCACCTTATCGTGGTGGAGGGGTTTAAGTGCCCAAATGATTCTGGGAGCTGTGAGGTTGGGGGCTTCATGCTCCTTGTAGGATCACCCAGGGCAAACAGGTCCTGAGGGACGGGTCAGACTAAGAGCGGTTCAGAAGACCCCATGATGAGCAGAAGAACGACACCCCACCCTGGAGCCAGGCCTGAGGTGGGTGCTCGACGGCAAGCGCCTGGTGGCCGGGCCTTCCCCCACGGGGCCCGGCCGGGCACAGTCCGAAAAAGCAACGTGGGGCCGTCTTCCAGTGGGCCCACCACCTGCAGGAGGGTCCATAGGGGCAGGGTGTAGAGAGATCTGGGCGGCAGTTGAAGGCGGGGGCCTCATCGACCGGATCTCTGGACATGGAGATTAGCTCTGGGGACATGGAATGCTCGTGCAGGAGGTTGAGCGTTACCGACTAGATATAGTCGGCCTCATCTCCACTCACAGTTTGGACTCTGGAACCCAGCTCCTTGAGAGGGGCTGGACTCTCCATTTCTCTGGCTCAATTTCTGTATTTATGCATTTACCATAGTGAGAGGCAGATGCAGGCGAGGGCTGATCATTGCCGGAGCTCTATTTTGCTGCTATTTTCTGATTTTATGGTTTTGCTTTTATTAGAATTTTATACTGGTTTTATTGTTTTAGGACTGGGATCTGGACTGGGATCACATTTTTATCAATTACCGTATTTTTCATATTTTGCAGATTACAAGCTGCAAGTCGTGAAATCTGCAGCTGAAAACGGTAATCGAGCAGCAGAAAGAAAGTCTGGAGTAAACTGGATGGATGGACAAAGCCTGGACTTCAGTGACACCGAAACCATCCTGTCGGGATTCAGAAAGACCAGAATAATTCTAACTGGAACTGATGCTGAGTCTGACGACAGCGACACAGAAGAGTTTGTGTCTCTCTGTTTACCTCCGGAGGTCGAGGCCGAGTTGTTCAGAAGTGACACCGAGGATGAAGAATTGAATGGATTTAGTGATTTGGAGTGAGATGGAGAGTTTGTTAAACTTGTTCTGTTCTGTTGTTTTTGTTATAGTTTATCTGAAGAACTGTTCATATGTGACGTTAACAGTCTGTTGTTCTCTCTTCTAGTGTTTTTACTAGAACTTGACTTTCAAAAGGAAATGTCTGTTCTTAGTCTCTGATTTTATAAAAAAAATAAAATAAAATAAAATCCCCCAGAAAGTGTGACTTAAATATGTTTTTTTCTTCTTCATTATGCATTTTTTGGCTGGTGCGACTTAGACTCCGGAGCGACTTACAGTCCAAAAAATATGGTAATGGTCGCGTTTTACTTTTGAAGACAGCGTATCTAGTCTTTTAAGTATTTTGGTAAGATCTGATTTTTATATTACCGTATTTTCCGGGCTATTAGTCGCTCTGGATTATAAGACGCATTGTCATTGAATGGTCTGTTTTCGATCTTGTTTCACAAATAAACCTTACTGGACTTTAAAGGAAACACAACAGTTTAATGGGTCAGTCGGACTTTGTCTGTCGCGTTGACGGTGACTCTGGGCTTTGTTCAGTTGTGGCGTGTAGGGAGGGTGTGTCTGGGACCAACGGATTGTCGGCGTGTTCGCAGTGACTCAGATGTTCAGTCGTGTCTAGAAGCGGCACATCGAGCTCGCTTTTTCGGTTCGTTCCTCCGTTCCGTTCCTCGTCGGCGTGGAGTGATGCGTGTGTCTGTGGGTGTGTTTCGCTGTGCGGTCGCTGTCTGCTCCGTGTGTGTTTGTTTGTTCTGCGGGTGGTGCGGCTTTGTAGTTTACTGAAGTCGTGCAGCGAGTGGATTCGTGTACAGGGCGCTCTGGATTGTGTATCTTCCCGTGTATCTTCCATATTTGCATGTCCTGTGTGGTGCCTGACATCTGATTGGTGGGGCGTGGTTCCGTCGCTGTGGGCTGGTTCCGACGTCCATCGTGCTGTGGTTGGAGGATTGACGTCCCGTTCCTCCAATCCCTTTCCTACACATCCATCTCGACCAATAAAAGTGCTGTGCGCCTGTTCCTCCTGGCGGCTGGACGGCAGTTTCAGTTCGCCACTCTCACTGACAGACGTTCGTTAGTTGCCTCTCTTTTGTTATTGTAAAGTGTGTGTGTTTATTCGGACTGTAGGGGTCTTTATCGACCTATATTTTTTGTTAGTATTGCGAGTTTGGCTCGGCCCTTGGGCAGTTGTTTTTTGTTTGATGTTAACTTACCCCATTTTAGGAGTTCTTTAGTTAACCTTGGAAATTCTGATTTATCAAGTGTAAAACACCTCCCTTTTTTTTTTTTTGTTATTGTACTTACTTACATTCACTTTATAAA